TATAGTCTATTTCTACTTCACATTACTGACCCCTCCCTGAAATCCAAAATAGAAAAAATTCAAAATCAATCTATCCATCTTGCTCTAGGCTACAGAAGCTCTACCCCTTTAAACGTCATGTACAATGAATCGAAAATTACTACTGTCAATCACAGAATCAAACTTCTATCAGACAAATTTATTATAAAACTTATACAATATAATCACTCTCCTATTATCGACAAACTCAACCACTTAGATGTATCTCCTTACATCTACCACTAACCATCCTCTTAAACAAAAATACACCATCCTAAATTCATACAATAACATATACCCAAAAATCTCTCCCTTCATTCAACCTATCAAAATTCCTTTCCCCTTCCCCTACAATTATAATATCACCATACACAAACCTGATATTGACACTCTCACTGGATCCTAAATCAAATCTTCAAAATCTCCGCACACTATATTCAACAAAATTTTTAAAGAAAAATTACAAACCACTCTTCCTATCTTCACAGATGCATCTAAACAAAAAAATAATTCTCATGTTGGCTTCGCGTATTTCATCCCTCACTTAAACACTCATGGAATGTATAAAATCTCCTCCCTCTCCTCCATATTCACAGCTGAAGCCCTTGCTATCTACATGGCTCTAATTTACATTTCTAACAACTCCTACAACAACAATAACTTCATTATCTTTTCTGACTCTTTGAGTGTTTTAAAAGCCATACAACACTTCTCCTTTAAAAAGTAAAAATACATCCCACTTCTTACTGGACATTAAAACAATCCTTTTTCAATTACAAAAACAAAATAAAACTATTAAACTTATATGGATTCCTTCTCACTCTCAAATCATACATACGAAACAGTAGATCATCTAGCTAAATCAGCTATCACAAAAGGCATTAATACATTAATTCTGCTCCCATACACTGACTTTCTTGAAGATATTCAATACTCTCATAGAACATCTTTTCAATCCATTGTACTAGATCAAAGCTCCTACAAAGGATCTCACTACTTTCATAATTACTACTCATCCACACAATCTAAACCATGGTTCCACAAAACTTACCTTCGTAGAAAACATATCACCTTTATTAACAGACTCAGAAACAACCACTATTCTCTAGCAGCTAGTCTATACAGAAAGAACCTTATAAATTCCCCCTCATGTCAATCTGGATCTCCAATACAAGACATTAACCATGTTGTTCGGTCTTGCCCTACGTATTTATCTCAGAGAAAAATACTAATCAAAAAACTAAACAAATATTTACAAAAAAATAAAACTTCCTCAATAACTACAACCACCAATATATTAAAACTCCCCATTCATCTCCCATTTTTCTTCTCAATCGAATTTCTCAACAAAAAAAAACTCTCAATTTAAAATAAACCCTAAATCACTAAACAAATATCTCCTTCCATTCCTCACTCTTTTCTTTATACAATCCTACACTGTTCACAAATCTATCTAATCAATAGAATTAAATTTATCAACCTTAACTATAAACCACTCTTACTACTTGAATTTCAAATTTCGAATTCGCCTAGGACAACGTATGCGTTTTGGCATACCGGAGTCTCAGCTAAGAGACCCACCGCCATCTAGTAAACTAAACTAAACTATAGAATAGTGCAATTATTATAAAATATGCTAGGTAAAGAAGTCAATTTATAAAAATTTTTCAGACAATATAATCTTTAATGGTATTAGATTTTTCATGACAGGTAAAGTTTCACAATTGTATAAAACTATGTATAGTGATTGATAATAGCAATAAATGCTGTTGAGCGATTCATATTAAAGTAAAATGTTAAAATTAAAAATTTGTATATGAAAAATGTAAATTTCTTATTATTAATAAAATGTGCTAGCCAAAGAAGTCAATTTATAAACATTAATCGTTTGTTTTTGGGGAATATGTATTGTAATGTTTTTGTTTGTTTTCATTTTTATCACTTTGTATTCAAAATACGCGCCCCTTGAAAAACCCTAGAAATCACCTGCGCATGGCTTGCTGCGCAGTGGCTCATGACATATCCTTCTTCAACATGTCATGGTGTCGGAATTCATGTCATTTTTTAAGTGTCAGAATCGTTGTGTGAACACCCTATCTGTAATATCTCTATGATTTTCATTTAGTCATGTGTCAGACCTCCGTGACCTCAGCACACTTATATTCGGAAAATCAACATTGATTATACCAAACAATTTCGCGTGAGCTGCTCGTTATGAATCCGTTATTTAAAAATACTGCATCCCTTCGTTGTCGAGATATTTGTGCTGGGAGATTTTCAAACAATTATAACTCAAAAACTACTGATAATTTTCAAATCTAAGTGATCGATTACGCTAACCAGAATTATCCTTAAGAAATTGGCAGAATCAAAGACTATGAATAATTAGAGAATAATAATAAAATCAATAATTCATGTCATCTTTTAAGTGTCAGAATCGTTCTGTGAACACCCATAGAGTAAGCATACTATTGGCGCGCATGAAAGCAAATGCGTCCGGTCGATAGTAAGATAGAGACAATAAATTTAGCATTGTTGCATTTGTCTACTAGGAACTGCTGGGGTAGGTTGGTCCGGAATGACACCTGAAGTTGTACCGAGAAGGAAGTGAGATGGAGTAAGAGCTTGCAAATCGTCCGGATCCGTTGTCAGAGGGCGAAGTGGACATGAATTGAGGCAGGCTTCGATTTCTGCTAAAACGGTCGTCAGCTCCTCGAACGTTAATGTGTGCCCTCCGATAGTTTTCTTGAGTAAGTGCTTTGTAGATTTAACACCAGCCTCCCAGAGACCACCGTAATGTGGCGTGGTCGGTGGTATAAACGTCCAAGAAGTTCAGTCGTCGGCTAAAATCCTTGTGATATCCGCATAGAACGTCGAGGCATCTTGAAACATTGCTCGAAGTTCCGCATCGGCTCCTTTAAAGGTCGTGGCGTTATCGCTGAAGACGAGCTTACACAGACCTCTTCGACTCACGAAACGTCGAAAAGCGGCAATAAATGAGTTGCTAGTCAAATCGCTGACAAATGTATCGCTTTCGTAGCGAAGCAAATAAACACGGCAATATAGCCTTTGTAAGAACGTTGGTCTCGTCCCTTTGAAGTTCGCACCTGGATGGGGCCTGCATAGTTCAATCCGGTAGTGGTGAATGGCCGGGCTGACGTTACTCTTTCAGCTGGGAGGTTGCCCATCAGTTATTGGGCCAAGCGGGGTCTATGTCGTTGACATGTTACGCATTTGTGTATCGCAGACTTAACTAGAGGACGCATTCCTATAATCCAGACAAATCGCAATAAAATACTAGGAGTCAGTGCAGGTCCACTGTGAAGAGCTCGTTCGTGAGCATCTCGTATGCAAAGTCGACTGAGAGCCGAGTCGCGGGGCAATATCGGCGGATGTTGGATGTGACATGGCAAGTTCGCATTGTTGAAGCGACCACCGACCTTCAAAATCTCGTCATGATCAAGAAATGGCCGCAATTTGTACAACGGGTTGCTTTTCGGTAAAGGTTTACTTGCTTCTAAGAGTGCTATTTCTTCAGCGTACGCGAGAGTTTGAGCGAGTTTCGTGAGCGTAGCTCGCGCGTCATCGAGCTCTGCTACTGAAAGCCGCAGCTTGTCGTAGGAGCCTTGTCCTACTTCAGATCGTCGTCGTTGAAGGAGTGGTCGCAATATCCACGCCGTTATCCGTAAAAGCTGCTTCAGATTTGAATATCGTAACAGAAGCGCCGATTCGTTACTTTTTGATACCCTTTGGATATGCAGTGCTTGCACAGCTTTTGACGCTTATGGCTAAGTTCGCGGTTCAGAAACGAGCCAAGCGGGCCCGTGCCACCACATGTCATTCGATTTCAATTTGGTAGGTGTAACGCCTCGCGTGGCTAAGTCAGCCGGATTTTGCTTACTAGGGACATGGGCCCGGGCAGCAGAAGGTAGTTCTGTTTGTATTAGCGACACACGATTAGCAACAAACGTTTTCCAGTGACACGGATGTTTTTTCAACCATGTGAGAACGATTCGACTATCGGATCAAAAGTGAATCGGTGCGGTTTTCATGAACTCTAATTTTCGCAAATGACATACGTACTTTACTAATAGTATCGCGCCACAAAGCTCGAGATTCGGGATACTGACGGTTTTTACGGAAGCTACTTTCGTTCGACTGCCTACAAGTTCGTTTCGTGTCTAACCGGTATTAAAGGTTATGCGAATATACACGACCGTGGCATATGCACGGGAAGATGCATCAGAAAAGCCGTGAATTTCAAGCGACGCATTTTGCGTTAAGCCGAGTCAGCGGTTAATCGACAGCGTGGGTAAGACCGAGAGGGATTGTCGGTAAGTATGCCACCTATCGTAAATCTCGTTCGATACAGATTCATCCCAATCACACTTCTCAATCCACAAATCATGCATCAGGACCTTTGCCATAATCGTAACCGGGGAGAGCCAGCCTAACGGATCGAAAAGTCGTGCGATTTCCGAGTAGAGTGCTCTTTTCGTCAGTTTTACTTTATCATGCCTGAGACTTGGCGTGCTGAAGCTGAACTCATCGGAAGAGGGCTTCCAGTGTACCCCGAGCGTTTTGACGTCGTGATTGCTATCTATTTCTTTGATTGCGCTGCTATCATTAGACTGGTCGTGTGAGGGTAACAAATCCACGTGGTTAGCAGCCCACTTATTTAATTCAATGCCCGCGGATTTGAGGATTCCTACCAATTTGTCCCGTTTGCGCTTAGCTGTACACAGGTCGTCTGCTCCCGAGAACGTGTCGTCGACATACGTGTTTGCTTCCAAACATTCAGCGCCGAGAGGAAAGCGCGAATTTTCATCGCGAGCTAGCTGCTGAAGTGTGTGAATCGCTAAGTAAGGGGCGCATGCTGTGCCGTAAGTAACCGTTACCAAACGATAATCCATCGGTGATTGTTCCATCGATGGAGACCACACGATTCGTTGAAGATCCTGATCTTCCGGCGCAACACGGATCTACCTGAACATCTTAATGATATCCGCGGTGAATGCATAACGGTATCGACGCCAATTTAAGAGGATCAGAAACAGATCGTTTTGGTGTGGTGGACCGGCTATAAAAAAATCGTTTAAACACTGCTTATCGTGTGTTTTACGCGAAGCATCAAAAACCACGCGGATTTTTGATTGTCGAGAAGTATGAGTGATAACCGCATGATGGGGCAAGTACCAAGCTTGTGGGTTATTTATCTCCGTGGTCGGAACGCGTTCCATGTGGCCGAGTTTGAGATAGGTGTCCATAAATTCGGCGTACGCATTTGCTAATTTCGAATCGTTCAAAAATCGCCGATGTTGGTGCTTGAGAGAGCCAAGCGCTATATGACGCGTTGCCGCGCCTATACTCGGCAGTTTGCCGATGCATGGAAGACGTACTTTTAAATGACCGTCGCGCTCGCGTGTGTGTGTGTCGGCGAAGAGTCTTTCGCATTCTTTGTCTGCTGACTTTTGGAAGTTGGTAGTGATCGGCACTTCCTCAATGGTCCAGAATTTCTGGATTATTTCGCTCAGGTCGTCGTTCACTTCACAGCGTAGCGCCTTGATTATGGCATGGTTAATCGGTACCGCCCGCCGTGACGTACTGTCGTGCGTAGGGCCTGAAACTACCCAACCTAGCGCCGTGTTCTGAGCAACTGCTAATATACGAGGAAAGCTTTGCACACCCGAGCGAAGTAGCTGACCATAAAGATCGGCTCCTATCATAATGTCGACACGGCTGGACCGATGAAACTCAGGATCTGCAAGCGATATTTGTTGAAATTGGTGCAAATTGAACTTGACAAAATTTCGAGAAGGCAATGCAGAAGTAAGTCGCGGTAACACGAAAGCATTAACTTCCAGCTTGAAACTAGGATCGACTTGCGATTGCAGCGTGAAGCATGTCGCCGATTTGATACAACCCGCGTTACAACCTCTCACGCCGATTACGTTTGTTTCAACACGACTCTTTGATAGGCGAAGCGATTGAACAAGTGCTTCTGATATGAACGTCGCCTCAGAGCCTTGATCGAGGAGAACGCGAGCACGCGTATGTTGGCCATCTGATTCTATAACTATAACCTGCGCGGTTGCAAGAAGAATGTTTCTCTCGCCACTTTGGCACGTGTTTGATGCAAGTACTGGCTTGATGGCCACATGAGCAACGTTAGCCTTGATTTTAGCACTGTTGTTAGAGTCTGCTTCCTGCTGATCGTTGTTCCGATTATTGTAATGGAGTAATGAATGATGCTTCCCGCTGCAAACCTTGCACGAATGCTGAGATTTGTAGTCTTTCATCTTATGCGAACCTAAGCAATTAAAGCAGAGCTTTAGCCGACGTACTTCGCTGTTATAGTCCTTTACATTCTTTGCGAAGAAAGCAGCGCAACGCGTGACGAAATGATTACCCGAGCATATGACGCATGTCCTAGTTTTCGTTGAGTCTGCGGTCTGCGCGTGATGTACCTTACGCGAGCCCGAACCGGGGTTAAAAGGTTGTGGACCCTCTTATCATCTCTGTTATCAGAACTAATGACGAGCAACGACTGCGCACGTCTCTCCAGGAAAGCGACTAAATCTACAAATTTAGGGAATCGCGATGTGGCATCGTTCTCCGCGTCCGGTAGCAGTAAAATGAACTGACGATCTCGCTTTATTAGTTCCGGATCTAAACGAATTTCTACTGTGTGTACAAGCCATATATCCCATTGCGCGACAGGCGCTCCGCTGGTTGCGAGCGCTCAGATGATTCCTTGAGTTGAATCAACAAAACGGCGCAGCTCGTGCGCAGCCTCTTTTTTCAAATAAGGTAAATTCGAAAGAGAGTTGAGCAACTTGTTTATCGTTAAGCGTGGGTTATAGAATCGATTTTTAAGCGCCTGCCATGTCGACACGTAATTTGTCCCGATTATCGCCACGTCCTTTACTAAATCAGCTGCTGAACCTTTGAAGCATGCCTTCAAATACTTGTACTTAGTTGTGTTGGCAAGACGTGGGGCATCGTGGACGAGTGTGGTAAATATATCTGCGAAAATCTCCCAGTCCTCATAGTTACCCGAAAAAGAGGGCAGATCTAAGCGCGGTAATTTCGCGATTTGCTCATCCGCCTCATCATCATCGCGTCGACGGCGTCGATGGATTGTCTCGCCATTTCTACTTTCGCGGCGTCGCGGTTCTCCGACATCCTCGTTATCATTCGGGAATTGTATGAGCTTAGTACGTAGCCAATCAGTGGTTTCTTCTTGAACTCGAATCATTGCATCAAAGTGATTTTCAACGACGTATGCATGCCTCGCAGCGTCAGCGTGGAGCATAATATCATCGTGTGTCTTGCGGATTGCGGCCCAACGCTCTTCCACGGTTCTAAGACGCGCCTGCACGATTGTTTTGTTGAGGGTGCCCGGTGCCTTCTCCTTCATGCGCGCGCCGATGACAGCGATCTCGTCTAATTTTGATTGTTGGGAGGCAACGAGCCTATTAAGTGGTACGCGTGTCATGGCACTTATTATTATCAAAATTTAATGAAAAGATTCACTAAAATGCAGGTGAACCTTACTCACACTGACTCACAAGCACTTTTCACAATATAACGTAAGCGCGCAGCTTCCTACTATTGTAGGACCTTTTAATTAATGCTACAGCTCGAATTTCATACGCAGCCAGGCTTATCACCTATAAACGCTCACTCCTCACCCGGGGCACCATGTTCAATTACTACGTATAAGATTAATGAACTAAATAAGATCAATGAACCAAAGTATTTTTTTATGTAAATTTTAGATCAAGATTATCATGTTTTCAAATACTTTTAACTATTGAATATTATTGAATTTTAATATACAAAATTAATTTATTTATAACTTTACAAATATTAAATATTGAAATAAAGCGAATACTTTGAGTTCGAGATAATGATCTTTTTTTTCCATTAAATCTATAATTCTTATATATAAAATACTGATACATTATGTAAAAGATCAGCAAAGCCATGAAAAAGCAGGTGATTTTAAAAGGGGTCGCTCTTTCGATTGGCAGTGTCGAAAATAGGGGTTTCCATTTAAAAAAAAAAAGTTGACCTCCAAATGACCTTGAGATTGAGATTGAAGGTCAAATCCAAGGTCACCATCGAATTCCTCGTCGAAAGTTAGTCCTAAAACAACCTTGAGCTTCGCAAAAGCTTTGCTACCTGGAAAGTTATTTCCTTGATTCGTTACTTTTTGGACACCCAGTATAATGTAAATGATCCACTGCCAGTTAAGAGGTTAAATCAATTGAGACAATAATTATTATTAGTCCGTCTATCTAAAACTATACATTTATTGTTAATAACTATTACATTTCATAAATGACACTCTCTTACTGAGTTAAATATTTCATTTATAAACTGTCAACTTATCCATAATTATTCTGCGTGACTTCAATCTAACCTACTGTATCTTTGTATCTTAGGTACTCGTGGATCGTCAGGTCTTATCACTGAAACACAAAGAAAATCTCAATTAAAATTATATCAGATATTTCATTAGTTAATATGGAATTAACAACTTCAGCCAATGATAACAATACTGAGGAAAATATTTAACTTGTAGTTGCGGTGGAATTTTGAGAAAAAATCAATTAAATTATTTGACAAGATAGAGCTTTTTTAATAAAGAAACGTCAAATTGAGCATCATGAGCTCCATTGCGTGGCATAGATAGAAGTTCAATAGCTAGCGTTGTTAATTTATACCCGCTCATTCTTTTGGGAAATTTATTCCTAAACATTAGTAGAGTGTGTGATGGAGTAATCAGCTCTGTTAGCCAATACTCCATTTAATTTTGCACTTAGGCTTGATTTTCCTTTTGATGCAGGTGCGGCGGTTATTTACTGAGCGATCAGATGAAAGAGTGGAAGAAGAAGCGGAAAGTGAGTGCGCACTAGCTTCGTTCACTCTCCACGCGCGCAAGGGAGAGATTAAGACAGAGAAAAAAGAAAGAGAGACATAAAAAGAAGAGGTCGCGCGGAGCGCCTATAAATAAAAATCAGGAGGTGAGACGATCGTCGGCAGTAACCGACGAGCCTTGCTACTGTCGCTAGCCGAATTAATTTTCCATCCCTCACGCGCGTATTTGTTGTTCGTTCAGTCGAAAGTGCAGGTGAGGAGCAGCAGCAACATCGAGAGAGCCGCGGATCACATCACGCAGCAACAATATCAAAAGCAAGCATCGGCAAGCCAGCGCGCGATTACCTCCAACTTGGCGCACGTTCTCACCGGACTATGGGTAGCGGTGAACAGGAGTAGCCCAGTTAAACATTCGATACGTACCTTATATTTGATTTTTTTTTGAGGATTTTCTAAGAACGTGCACATAATCGGATTTTGAACATTAGATACGTTACACTACAGTTAACCTATGCAGTTTCTTAGTATTTTCTAGGAAAATGAACCTATTGTATAATGTTCACGAAAAAATTATTTAGCTTGTGCAGTTTTGCCAGATTTTCTAAGAAAATATACAGTCACATAATTTTAACGGAAAAGTTTTTTTATCATTCTCTGTTACGTTGGATATTTAAAAAATTATCGGTTATATATAAAAATTATAAAAAAAAAATTTTTTTTAATTTTTTTTCTTATACATTTTTTGAATTCTTCTCGGGTTATATAAGTGTTACTTGGAATTTACACTTTTAGGTTACATTTTTTTAGAAATTCAATGACACTTTTGCACGCTAAAATATTTGGTGCTTTAATAATACTGTCAACATTTATGGGAGAAAGAAACTTTAGACAGGCTAACTGTCTTAGAAGATCATTACAGTGTCCGCTATATCAAATGCATCCCCAGAGTATGTGTTCTAAATTTTTATTAGTTTCTTCACACTGACATAGGGGTGAGCTTACAACATTAATCCGAGAAAGCGATTCCACCAGATAGTAATGATTTGCTCTTCAGTGGTTGACCGTGACTATTAATTCACGTCTGAGTTTTTATTTCGAAACCAAGGCTTAGTTCTTTCTTGATAATATTAAATTGACAATAATTGATAATAATTACATCGATAATATGAAGGATAAAAAAATTTGAAGATTTAAAAATATTAGGAAATAAACTTATAAAATTATTTAATATAATATTAATTAATAATCTAATATAAATTAAAATATTTAATTTATTAAATTTTTTATTTATTAAAATTTGAATTAATTTATTTAAATAATTAATAAATAATATTACAACGGTAGTCGATTCGATCAATCGATACGTTCACGATTCGACATACTCAGAGTGCGGGAGCGAATGATTAAGAGAGAGAGGGAGCGCGCGCGAGTTTAATTTTCAGTTTAGCTTCAGCTGTTGTGCAGGAAAACCGCCAACATGTTCTGTTGTGTTTTGCCGTTTGCCAAGCGAAAGTTATTTAGTTTTGATATGTGATGGGTGATAGCGAGGTGCGGGAAAAAAGCAACGGAGCCAAGATCAGCGAGGAATCGGACGAGCAGCAACCGATCCGGGAGCCAAGGGCAGCATCGTTGCAGCATCACTCGGGTGGAGAAATCGTTTGTCAACATCAATTACGGCTGATCACCGTAATTGCATCGCAGGGTAGATGCACCTCCTTTTTTTTCGCGCGACAAAATACTTCCGAAAATATTTTGTTGTATGCGACCGTTATCGCATTCGCGCCAAGTGTTAAATTTCGCAGTAGAATTTCAAATTCTCTCTCTCTCTCTCTCTCTCTCTCTCTCTTTCTCGGAGTTCCCGGGAGCCTGGAAGCGGGCACAGCTGATTACCTTGAGGAAGAACAACACCCCTTGCTTTCTTTCAAAGGTTCTCGAGAAGCTTGCCCATGACCAGATCACGGAGTATCTGAATAGAGAAAATCTTTTTGATCCCCTCCAGGCCAGCTTTAGGCGGGGCCACAGTACTCAGACAGCGTTATTAAAGTTGACGGATGACATCCGAATGGGCGTTGACAAAAAGATGATGACGCTCTTGCTGTTATTCGATTTCAGCAAGGCGTTCGACACTATATCACCTTCGAGACTTTTGCGCAAGCTCCGTGCTCTTGGTTTTTCTGGTTCTGCTCTCCAATGGCTGAGGTCCTACCTCGGTGGTCGCTCGCAAAGGGTTACTGCTGGGGGTGGGGGCTCGGAGTGGCGGGAGACGAATCTGGGGGTTCCACAGGGCTCGGTGCTGGGACCGCTCTTGTTTTGTCTGTATGTCGGCGATCTGAAAGATGTGCTCCGTGGACATGAGGTTTCTTACCTCTTCTATGCGGATGACTTGCAGATTTATCTGCATATACATAAAAATGAATTGACGAAGGGCATCCGAATGTTGATGGAGGCTGCGAGATTGGTGGCGAACTGGGCCCGGGATTCGGATCTGCGCCTGAACGCGGGCAAGACCAAAGCTATCATATTTGGAACTAACAAACATGTCAATGACATATACGCGGAGGTCTTGCCTGGTGTTGAGGTGCAAGAGGGAGTATTTGTTCCCTTTAGTGATGAAGTGACCAGTCTCGGGGTCGTTCTCGATAGCAAGCTGTCGTGGAGATCGCACATTGACCGGGTCGCGGCGAAAGTTTGGAGAGCTCTGTACGGTCTGCGTTTTGTTAGGCCGTGTACTACGGAGCTGCTCCGGCGCAGACTGGTGGAGTCGATGGTCCAGCCTCACCTGGACTACTGCACCGTGGTGTGTTTGGGGGCCTCGGCGGAGCAGAGGGAGCGGCTACAGAGACTGAGCAACGCGTGCGTAAGATACATCTATGGTATCCCGCGCGATGTCTCGGTCTCTCCATATAGATCGCGGTTGGGTTGGCTTCGCGTGGACGTGCGCAGGGAATATTCTATGTCCCTGCTAATGTACAGGTGCTTGACCATGCGTGAGCCTGGCTACCTGGCTGAGCTCTTCATAGGGCACAAGTCAAGGTATCCGGGTAGGGCGGGGCAGGCTGAGCTTAGAAGAGCTTAGAGCTAAGGTTAGAACGGAGACGGCTCGCAGGTCTTTCCAGGTGATGGGTGCCCATCTCTGGAACACTCTTCCATCTGACCGTCGCTTAGCAGCTTTAAGAGGGGGGCGCGCGGATACTTTGCGTCATTGAATGCGTAGGTTGGTACCACTGGAGTACATTTATTTCTATTGTTTACTGTATAATTGTTTATACAGTTATTTATTTACGTGTTTGTAGTGTATTATATTTATTTATTTATTTATTGTGCTGTTTTGTGTCTGTATGACGAAAACTAGTCTAAACTTTTGACTGCATTACTAGTTTTAAGATAAGCAAGCTAGACTGTAGTGATAAGAATTATTGTTTCCTCTGGAATATCGAACTGTGAACTAGTCAAATCCTAGTCTATTTATTTTAACGTAATGACTACAATCATAATCTCACTTATTGACTGAGGAACGACAATTGTAATCGAACTGTGATGAAATGTGATGCCTGTACGGTATAATGTAAATTGACTGAAAGCTGTGACAATTGCTGTATATATGTTATATATTATTGTATTTTATGTTTTGCCATCACGGTGAATAAATTCTTATCTATCTATCTATCTCTCTCTCTCTCCCCAGTATATTTGTAAATCTTATACGCCTGCGCAAGTCTTTCTGTAGCTTCTATTATTATAAACGTCTCAATTTTATTCGCCGCATTACGTTATTTCGTTTCTCTTTAGTTTAACGGATCCGTCACCGGATATTTTTTAAACCGATTTCATCTAGGGAATAGTGGAAAGAAACATTAATCTCCGTACACCTAAAAGAAAGTAAGTGTCACAAATCAGGTAACTTAAGATGAGTTCAACTCTGTTGGAAAGGAGACATTGGAGCGAAAGTATCAAACGTAAAGGTACGTATGCTCATACGTGATTAACGGAACAGCGGTTAGTTCTGCATCGTGGGAGATTGTTCTTAAATAAACCCAAGTTGCATTAGTTAATCCATTCCGTTACATTGTGCTCAACCGGTATTAAGACCCGTTATCAGCGTACAGCATTGGGCGTCGAAGGTAATCGACGCACAGGATAGAGAGACGATTGCATGAGCGCTTAGAAAGGCTCGAGCGGATGTCAAAACGAGATTTTGAACGGTGTGAACCAAGAGTGAAGCCCAGAGAATATGAACCCGGCGGAGCAACCAAACAGCGGGTTCCAACTCAAGGTAGGATATATAAATTATTATTATTAGATAGTTTGCGGGGACTGCACGCGCTCATAATCTCGCGAATTTGCGCCTTGAAAAGAAGGCAGTAAGGATAGCAACATGAATTAATACCCCGCTCATACCTTGGGTGATAGGAAACGGTAGTGGTCGAGTAGGCCGACATTTTAAACCTCAACCGCATCCTACACCCGTGCGGAGGCAAAATGGCTCTGATGTCAGCTCAAATCGGCACGTGGGCATTAGAGCTGACCTCCGCACAGCGCGAACGTTACTTGGCGGATCTAGAGCTTCGCAAGGATGGAAGTGTCATCCAGC